TGACATGCAAATTCGTGAAGCATTCCATATTTTAAGAAATATCTAATGCCATTATTATTATCTGCATGCCATTGATTTAAAAAGTTAGTGTTACTGGTTCTTTATTTTGTTAATTCTCTGTACCCTATAACACTTGAGGAGCAAAATATTATAGTGTACTATTTATGTTGACTTTTACTGAATATTTGCATTTTTAATTATAAGAAGGTCAAAATTATAATCTGTGCTTCCTTCAGTTTACCTAGCTCTTATTTACTATGTATACACCTGTAAGACCTTGGCAGCCAAACATTATAAAGGCTTTAATTTTCTCAGTGCTTGAAATATGAACAGTAAAATTTACAGCTTCTTCTTAAACCTCCTGCTTTATAGAAGGTTTTGATTATTTTTAGCAGAGCCTTTCTATTATAGCCCAATTTAGCTGAACTGCACCACCAGAATTATAATTCACCACTGCATCATCTCCCTAGTGACAGGAACCATGGAAAATAAGATGATCAAGAATGGAAGAACCACACATTTTGAAAATGGAGTCTTCAAATGTCCCCTGTGGGGCACTGTCTTTCACTCATTCTTTCTTGGCATTCAGCTTTACCTCATTTCCTTTTACATTCCTAACATAAAACAAAAGTGAGCTATAGTTTTCTCCATGGTATGATTATTTTACAAAAATTCTCACATACTTTAAACCTAGCAAAATTGTATAACATATTATAAAATCAGTGTATTTCTAGTTCTTAAAACATTGTATTGGCTTTGAGATTTTTCTTTTCAATACTAATTAAAACTTTACCAGATAGTTCATGGTAATAGCACCTTTTATATTTTCTACAAAATTACCTAGAATGATTATGATGATTAGAAATTTAAACTTTGGAGGTGGTGGGGAAGGGTAGTGGGAAAACACAGAAAACTGTGCTTGAACAACAATAAAAAAAGAAATTTAAAATTAAAAGGTCAGATACAAGATTTCTAATTTACATTCCTCCTCTTATGGTTCTCATAATATACTTTGTTCTATCCTATACCAAAATAATACTCTTCCCCCTACACTCTTAATTTTGTCTTTCCCTCTCTGGCCATACTATTATTATTCTGGCTTCAGCACACAGTCCAGTGTTCCCCAGCCTGATTCCTAAAACTCAACCCCCATAACCCTGAATAAACTTCAAAGCTGCCCTATATACCTGTCCAAGATACACATTGGCAACAAAGATATGTTAAGTACACCAGGCTCTAAAATCATATTACTTTACAATTTATTGCTAAAATTTCATAAGCAAAGTCTGTTTAAGAGAATTTGTAAACCATATTTTTTTTAAAATAATTATATATATATATTATATATTATATATATATATTATATATATATATTTTATATATATATATATATATATAATATATATATATTATATATATATATATATTTTAACTTTTAAGTGGATCAGACAAACAGCAGTTCCACTTTGTAATTTAAAACTTGATGGGGGATTCCCAGCCAAGATAAAAGTATAGGTAGACACACTGTGCCTCCTTGCACAACCAAAAGAAGGACAACAGTAAATTTAAAAACAAAAAATAACTAGAGCTGCCAGAAAATCAAACTATATGGAAGTCCAATAACCAAGGAGTTAAAGACGAAACGTTCATCCAGACCAGTAGGAGGGGCCAAGATAGGCAGCCAGTATAGAGTGGACTCAGGGCAAAGTGGTGGCTGGCAGAGTGTACTGTCCCACATTTGCATGCAGATAAACCAGGAGGAACAGCTAGGGAGCCAGACAGATCATGCAACCCAGGGTCTCAGCACAGGGAAATAAAGCCTTAAAACCCCTGAATGAAAAAACCTATGGGGTTGAGGCAGCAGGAGAAACTCCCAGCCACACAGGAGAGTTTGTTGGAGAGACCCATGGAGTCCTAGAACATATATAAACCTACCCACCAGGGAATCAGCACCAGAAGGGCCCAATTTGCTTGTGGGTAGTGGAGGAAGTGACTGAAAGCTGGCTGAGAACTAAGCAAGTGGCATTGTTCCCTCTCGGACTCCTCCCCTACATACAGCACCACAACACAGCTGTGTTGCCCCACTCTGGTGAATACCTAAGGCTCCACCCCTTACTACATAACATGCATTCTGAGACAAAAAAATATGGCCCAAATGAAAGAACACATCAAAGCTCCAAAAAAATCATGACTAAGCAATAAAGAGATAGTCAACCTATCAGATGCAGACTTCAAAACGTTGGTAATCAGGATGCTCACAGAAATGGTTGAGTATGGTTGCAAAATAAAGGAAAAAGTGAAGGCTATGAAAAGTTAAATAAAGGAAAATGTACAGGGAAACAACAGTAAACGGAAGGAAACCAGATGCAAATCAATGATTTGGAGCAGAAGAAAGAAATAAACATTCAAACAGAACAGAATGAAGAAACAAGATTTCAAAAAAATGAGGAGAGGCTTAGGAATCATAGGGGTGCCAGAAAGAGAAAAAGGAAGAGCCAGAAATTGAAAACTTATTTGAACAAATAATGAAGGACAACATCCCCAATCTGGCAAAGGAAATAGATTTCCAGGACATCCTGCAAGCCCAGAGAGTCCCAAAGATATGGGACCCAGGGAGGACCACACAGAGGCACATCATAATTACATTACTCAAGATTAAATATAAGGAGAGAGTCTTAAAAGCAGAAAGAGAAAAGGAGACAGTTACCTACAAAGGAGTTCCCATAAGACTGTTAGCTGATTTCTCTAAAGAAATCTGGCAGGCAAGAAGGGGCTGAAAAGAAATATTCGAAGTCTTGAAATTTAAGGACTTACATCCAAGATTACTTTATCCCACAAAGCTATCTTTTAGAATAAAAGAGTAGATAAAGTGCTTCCCAGATAATGCCAAGTTAAAGGAGTTCATCAGCAAGCCCTTATTATATGAAATGTTAAAGGGACTAATCTAAGAAAAAGAAGATATAAACAAACATACAAAGAGTAAAGTGACAACAAACTCACAACTATCAACAACTGGACCTAAAAAAAAAACAACAACAAAAAAATGAACTAAACAAACAACTAGAACAGGAACACATTCACAGAAGTAGAGATCATATGAAGGCTTATTGGGGGGATGGGGAGGGGGAAAATGGGAGAAAATGTACAGAAAATATGAAGCATAAATGGTAGGTACAAAATAGATGGGGAGTTTAAGAACAGTATGGGAAATGGAGAATCCAAAGAACATATATGTACAACCCATGGACATGAACTAAGGTGGGGGAATGCTGGTGGGAGGAGGGTACAGGTTGGAGGGGAATAAAAGGTAGAAAAATAGGACAACTGTTATAGCATAATCAGTAAAATATATTAAAAAATAAAACTTGCTGATAATTTTTATCACTATATGGAACTGTCCATGCTTTAATAACATATGAAAATTTGAGGGTTATACAGGATATTCCCACAGATTTTTTTTTCCCTGTGAGATGTCCTAGCTTATCACAACAGAAGCTATATTTGATGCTTAAAAATCTAACTAAACTTGTATTTTAAACCTTGAAATTGTTTTGGTACCCTCAGAAAACATCACATTTTTTCTTTTCTCAAAACCTAACTGATACTTATATTTAAATCAAAGATTTCCATATTTTTCCAAAGGAGAACCTATTTATGTTTGTCAGTCTCATTTAGGTATATGAACTTAGGACCACAATATGACTACTTCAGTTGGAGGAAGCTAACAAAGCAAATGAGTGGTTCAGAGGGAGGAGACTGGTGGTGGCAGAAACAGAGCACTAAGGCCCCAAGCCTGGAGGGAGAAAAGTGCTGGCAAACTCAGGCTGACCTGCTCTACCTCCTGGAAATGGCTGGGTATGACAATGACAGACTCATTGTAGTGTGTCTGTGGTTCAGGATCAGACATTTTGCTACTTCTACCATAAATTATATAACAATAAATTATAAGAAAGTTCAAAATAATTTATAAGAACTCTTATTTTGTATAACAAAGCAAATCCTTCATATACACTTCACACTGAATAGTTACCCTTCAAAAAAGACTCACTAAAATATTTAGCATCGGCCACCTATTACATATAATGCTTAAAGAACACCTTTCTCTAAAGGAGATACACTTTAATGAAAACAACATAAACAGCAGGTTCTTTCCAAATATGCTTATGTGAAGATCATACTATAAAAAGAAATAGTGGTTCAGATGGATTAATAAAGAAGAAAACAAAAACCTACAGTTCACTACTATTTATATATACTAAACATACTTTCTGTCCTTCATATAATAAAGCCATGCGTCCTGACATTGTGCACTCCTTGTGAAATTCTATGTAAACTTACAGAATTATTCACTAGGCAGATTTGGACCTGAATCATGCAATATAATGCTGTGATTTTAATAAGAAATTAATAAGGAATTCATCAAAGCAGACCAGCCAGTGGTGATTAGTACTCATTTTCAAAGCTTTTCCACTATTTAGTTTTGAAATTTAAGGTCCTTCCAGCAAAAGCCATTTGTCATTTGGGCAACAGCTAGAATACTTATATGTGTTCTTTCAGAATTAGAAGGACTCAATTGACATTGCAATGCAAAATACTGATTAACCATTATATAACTGAAAACACAATGTATATTTCAGCATAAATTACTGCTTCTTTTTAACTATCAACATAATTCTTAGCTCATATTGAAATCCCACTCTCTAAGAAAGACATTCTGTGGTTAAAAGTTGCCTAGTATTCAGCGAGTTTAATTTTTTAATAATGAATACTAGCTTTACAAATTTTTCCTTCCTGAGCAATATCATGATTCAGTTACCTATAGTATATCAATACTATAAATCAACTCATAATGAAAGTTTTCTAATAAAGCAGAAATCTGTACAGATTTCTAAATTAAATAGATAGCAATCATAAAAAACAAAATTATATCCTCACAATTTCATTAAGATCACAATTTGCTATTAAAAGTTACTAATAGATAAGTAACTAAACCCCTTTACCTTATAAATATCCAAAAATCCACACTGGTGATCAAATCTGGTATACAGTTCGTTCAGCATGCTGATCACCTGCATGGGGGTACACTGAGCACAGATGGCTGTGAAGCCCACAATGTCCGAGAAGAGCATGGTGACATCATCAAACTTTCTGGCCTGCACTTGCTGCCCTTGCCACAATTGCTGGGCTACGTCACCAGGGAAAATAGAATATAGGAGATCCACTGTTTTCTTTTTCTCTTCTTCAAGTGCCTGGTGAGTTCTTTCTAAAGTTGCCTTTAATTTATCCATCCTCTTCTTCAAGCCATCTTGGGCCTTTGCCTGCTCACCAACCAAAATGACATCTCGGGTGGCATCGTGGATAGGGATGTCTGAGAGATGCAGACCCCTGCCCATGAGTTCATCCAGCTTGTCCACACACGGAGAGCCCAAGAATAAAATGGAATTTGATTCTGGGACATGGATCATTTGTCCTTTGACTTCCATCACCTGCAAAATTAACATGGAATTTTGATCAGTGCTCTTCACATAAGAGATTCACAAAAATTTGTTATCTGATAAAGAGGAAGAACAAGAAATGTTTTATAAGCCACACTGACTTCCTGCATTCATACAAGCAAATTTATATATGATTTACAGAGACTGTAAAATTCATGGTTCTGAATAGAAACATTGTTAGTGTCTCCCACTTGTCCACTTTTGAAAGTCAATGCTGCAATGAACAGTGACATCAATGAGAAATAAAACAAGAAAACATGGAATGCACTCAATAAATTTATTTTTCTTTATTTTTCATAGCATGAAGTATTTAGGATAGTAGATGAAATGAGAAGCAAAGGGGAAATATGGGGTAAAACTATAAAGATTTAGATTTCAAAGTCTGCAACTACATTTTATTATGTTCCCCCTGCACAAATCACTAATATCTAATCTAAATAAGAAAATAAAATTGAAATCTTGCTTGATATTATAATTTTTTATAATTGAAATGCTCACTCTATGTAAAGTTTCTTCTAGTGTTTGGTCTTTCATCTTTTACACATGATACCCTCATTTATTCACTGAAGTAATTGCTGTTTTCTATTTACTAGCACAGCTCTGGATGATAAGCATAAAAAGATAAAATAAAGTTCTCTTTTCAAAGATATCACAGTATAGGGGTGAAGAGGGAGCCACACTTACATAACATAGAATAGTGTAAACAGGACACTTTCAATTCAATATGAATTCTCAAAAGACTGCTCACTATGGTTTGAATACAAAGAAAATAACCATACTGAAAACTACTTCCAGATTATTTTATATATGCTTAATTTGCTTTGCGGGGAAGGGGTGCTATTAATGATATATACTTTCCCATTGTTGGAATATTAAAGGCTTATGTAACAATCAACATTCACAAAATATACAACTTCATAGTAAAAAATTAGAATATTAATTTTTTCTTAACATTTAAGGTAAAAGCAGACCTCTGATGTTCCAAGATTTAGACTTCCATTTAGGGTCTGTCTCTTCCTCCTTCCTCATATTTCCGTCTAATCATTTTTTTCCTTCTCCATCTTGTTCTCTCCTTCCTTCTCTCTGTTCTTCTGATTTACACTTATTTCCAATAATCTCTCTTCATTTAGTCTCACCACTGGTTTTCCTTATTTTCCTCATTAGTTCTTCCTTTTTCTTTTTATCTCTCTTTTCTTCCTATGAGTCAACCTCCACATTTCCCATTACAAATGGACCTTCTGCTTTTTTGCTTTTGCCTATATCTCTATTATTTAAAATGTGGAATTATATGAGTATACGCATAAATAATATATATTATTTGCTATATGTAGCAAGTGTTGAACTTACAAAGAATTTAATATGTTATTATATATCTATCTCAAAAATATAAAACATCAATATAATCTTGATTTATATGTGGCTATTAGTTGTTGTTTTTTCAGAATCTCTGATTCAGCAGAGCCTGAGTGAAAAACTAGTTGCTTACCTCCCACACTACAGAAACATAACTCATGAAACAAAAGCTCCAATATGCATAGTACATAACTTACTATTTTTATATATTTTTCATCAGTGATTTTTTCCTTAGTAATTAGGTAAATTTAATTGGACCATTTATGTCTCTGTCATAAACACAGTTTTATTTTAATTAAAAAATAAAAAATTATTCTTCTTGAATTGTCTTTGTACATTATAAATATAAACTCAGAAGTTCACAGTGATCTGTATTCATTAATTTAGCAACTTGAAAAACTATTGTAGGAATTACTTTTTAATACAGCAGAAACAGTTGTATAAAGCTGCATTAAACTCTAAGTTTTTATTGTAGCCTAAGTTACATTAAACTTTTATTGAAATAACATAAGGCATAAGATAAATAAACTGTATTTAAATCTAGCAGATTTCAGAAACTGGTAAGTATAACAATGGGGACTATTTGGCTCTGGGCAAAAAAGACTGAAAGTCATTATATCACAAAGCTTGGTTTTCAGGTTCTGTTAAACGACCCGGTTATTTCTATTTTTATGCATGGATATCTCTATGAGAACATTGACCACTATAATAAAAAAATTAACTGAAAATTAAGAGTGTCTAGGTCATATGACTCTATACTATACATTCTTATATTATATAACCTGAACATGTAATGACCCATGTTCTCCTGGAGACTCAAGTTTCACAAGATAGTAATTTATAGCAGTATCATATAATGGTTAGAAAAGAAGGATTTGTGGGAAGTCAGACCTAAATTTGAATTCTAGCTTTCCTGACATTTTAAGTGAGCAAATGAACTTAGATTCAATTAGTTATCCATTCCAGGACTGTTTCTTTATCTATAAAATGGGGATAATGATGTTGATAAGGATTTTATCTAACTCAACACATCTATTGAGTACTTTCTATTGGCTAAGTACTAAGTTATTGAATCTTATTTTATGATAGCTATTACTATTCTCATTTTCAGATGAGATTTAGGGAGGTTAAAAAGACTTGCTAAGAATACACAGCTAATAAACAGCAGAATCAGCATTCAAACCCAAGCTGGATTAGCTTCATAGGACATACTTTAAACCAGTGAGGAAGTGTAATGGGTAGGGGGTTGGAGGAAGCAATAACAATTCTCAGCATGAATCAATGTGATGGCAAACACCCTATAAGATGTTCACAATAGACAATTTAAAAGAGAGAAGCTGTTGCTATCGATGTATTTAGCTAAAACAACTACTTGCATGCTATTTCATCGCTTCAATTCAGGTCAGTAAAAAGGTCACTTCTAGTTGTGATTTCAGATCTTTCAGATCTCTGGGATGTGATTTATGAAAAGCACAAACAGAATGATATGCCCTTGCTCTCCAGAAGGGCCTTTGTTCTCACAGAGTAACATCTACTTTTGAAGAATTGGCTCTAGCAAAAAAGAAAAATTATAGGAGACAAGTGCCCAGCTCAGAAACTTCTGTTCTCACAGTCCAGAGATTCTGCCCTCTCACAGCCCCCTCCTTGTGCTTCACATGGCTGGAGTCAGCAGCGAGAGGCATCCTACCACAGTAAGTGCCCAGCCATAAAGTACTCTTTATCTATTGAGACATTTGAGGAGCGGGGATCTCCTCCTTCACATAAAGGCACCAGGATACCTAGCATCAGGGAGCTTGGTTTGCCCCATCAAGCAGCATTAATAAGGACCAGTGAGAGCCCCCAAAGCATGGAGTAAACCAAGCAGATGAAAATAGCACCATATATACTCAGAAAATTACACTGTCATTGCAACTAGAGCCTACAAAAGTAAGCCAGGACCTGGGTGCCAGACATAAACAGGATATTTTTCTCTTAAAATAAAAAACTTAAATGTGATTTAATGTCTTCTAACATAATAGACTATCCAGGACATAAAAGAAAACCAAAAATCATAAGACTTAGGAAAATTGCATCTTGAATGAGAAAAGGCAATCAATTAATGCTAACACAAATGAATCAGATGTTGATATTATCTGTCAAGAACTTTAAAGACACCTCCATAAGCATTTCAATAAGCAATTACAAATTCTTTTGAAAATAATGAAAAATTACAGAAACCTTAGTAAAAGAACAGAAGATATTAAAATAACCAAATTGAATTTATAGAACTAAAAAATACAACCAAAATAGAAAACTTACTAAGTGGGCTCAAAAATAGAGTGGAAATGACACAGTGAATTTGAGGATAGTTCAATAGAATTTACTCAGCCTGAACAGAGATGATAAACTGGAAAACAAAATAAACAGCCTGAAAGACCTATAGGACGATAACAAAAAATACACCACTTTTCATCATAGGAGTCCTGGAAGGAAAGAAGAAAGAAGAGGGTTGAAAAAGCATTTGAAGAATTAATGGCTGCATATGTCCCAAATTTGATGAAAGATATAAATCCATAGACTCAACAAGCCATATGAACCTCAAATAGGATAAACTCAAAGAAATTCACTTCAGGCCACATCCTAGTTAAATCTCTAAAATCTAAATTCCAAAATATTTAAAAGGCAGCCAGAAGGAATTGACACATTGCCTATGGGAACTCTAAATTGAATGACAGTAGATTTTTCATCTGAAATTATGGAGTCCAGAAGAAAGATTTTTAATATCAATTTGTTGATATTAAAAAAGTTTTAATAAAAGTGTCAACTGCAAACTCTGTATCTGTGCAAACTATCTTTCAATAATAAAAGGGAATTAAAGACATTTGCAGACAAAGAAAACTAAATGTCTTTGTCCTAGCAGACATACCTTTACTCTCAATGGCCAAAGAAAGATCTTTAAACAGAAAAAAATAGTAAGACAAGGAAACTTACAGCATCAGGAAGGAAAAAGGAACAGGAAGACTCAAAATATAAGTAAACAAAACAGGTTGTTCTTGTCCTCTTGAGTTGTCTAAGTCATATGTGATGACTAAAACAAAAATTATATCATCTGATACCATAAATATAAGAAAAAAGCAGGGAGAAATTATGCACACACACATACACACAGAAGAAGATGTGAAGACAGACATTGGTTGAAGTGATGTAACCAAGAAATGCCAAGGTGTGTCAGTAGCCACCAGAAGCTAGAAAAGTCAGGGAACAGATTCTTCCCGGATCCTCCAAAGACAGCATGGCCCTATACACACTTTAATTTCAGATTCTAACCTCCAGGACTGTGAAAGAATACACGCCTGTTAAAATTTAACACTATCAAGTTTGTGGTCATTTTTTAGATTAGACACAAGAAACTCATAGAGAATGGAACAATAAAATAAACAAATAGGATCTAATTGACCTATATAGGGTGATCCATCCAACAATAGCAGAATACATGTTGTTTTCAAAAGCCTATGGAACATATACTAAAATAAACCATATTCTGGGCCGTAGAAAAACATCACAACAAATTTAAAAATTATACAGAATATGTTCTCTGACTACATAAAATAAAACTAGAAATCGATAACCATAAAATATAGTTATAATAGTAAAAAACT